GGAAAGTGGAAGAGGGGTTCCTTACTCACTTCACGCGTGACTTGCTTTGAAAGACCCCCCTCATTAAGCTGCCGTTATTGGCTTTTGCCCGCTTCTTTTAAGTTAACATTTTCCAAATTAAGTATATTGCATTTATGGGTGCTTTACTTCAACTGCACGGTGGAATTCAGTTTATCTTTCCTTCACGAGCAGAAACTTTAATGATAAGAGATTTATTTAAACTAAATGACTTGTTGGAAATGCTAGAGTGTAAAGCTGAACTGCTTTCTAATTTCACGGTGGATTAAATCGATTTTTCTCAAAGTATACGTGCCGCACTATAGACCTGTATGATGTATTTTAAAAACTTCCAAAAATTACATATAAATTTAGTACATATCTTCAAGTAAAGGCAAAGTTATTCGATTTTAATATATTTGTTTTTACTATGCCCTGTTCCGCGTTGATTTAAAGATATTATCTTTGATGTAATCCTTCTATCTTGCTGCTTTGTAAATTAATATAATTCCAGTTATTCGGGTATCAGAATTCTATTCATCTGGGTCTCTCTTTCTCTCTCTCTCTCCTTCTTTTTTTTTTTTTTTTTTTTTTTTTGTTTCTACGCCAAGTAGGACTGATATCCGCCGAAAATATCGCGTAGAAAAGAACTCAAGAAAAAAGGCCTCTTTCTACAAAAACATACTGAGATAAAGTGAACGAAAACATCACAATTCTTAAAAGATCGTGGTAAAAAATAAAGACCTACAAGTCATCGCAATATGATAACATCACAAACATGCTTTTTCTGACTACAAAAATTTTAAGTGAACTTTTGCTTAATGACTTGCAAGCACTAGAAGAAATGATATTTTTACCTCTGTGGTTCATACTTTAGTATTAGCTAGCTAGTAATTTTTCTCTGAAAAAGCAAGAAGAAAGCTTAAGTATTAAAAATTTGGAACTTATTAAAAACTAATGCTGCTTATAGCAGTTAATAGAATTTTAAGCTTATATTGCTGTTAAAAGTCATCGTTTAATTAGCCTCGTTTATAAAGACGTATTTGTAGATTTTCGTGAAAAAATTGGGGTGTAAAAGAGCTCAGAAAGAGAAAGATGCAGAAGTTTAAAATTCTATAAACTGCTGTTATTGCTAATTAATCTTTTAACTACTAATTAATTTTTAAAAGTTTACTAAATTTCATTTTTGCTTTTTCAGTAAATATATATTAATGAAATATAGAGGGAAAAATATTACTTGCTTCTTGTGCTCACAAATATTACTACGTTGAAATTCACTTAAAATTTGTATATTCAGAAAACGCATGTCTACAATATTATCATCGTGCGGTGATTTGTAAGTGCTTTATTTTTTACCATAGTAATAAAATTGAGGAAGTTTTTGTACCGTTTTATTTTCGAACTGCGATATTTTCTTCCACAATGTTTTGTACAATGGCGTTTTCTCTTTTTCGTTGATGTTTTAGTTCTCGATGTTTTTACTTGTAACCTCAAGATTAAGATTGCTAATTTATTTAGTTTTTTCAATAATATAATGCTAATTTATTTAGTTTTTTCAATAATATAAAAAAGAACTACAGGGCGTGAAAAATAAAATAATATATGTCGTTATCGTTAAACCTTTACATTAGGGGGGGGGAAACTTATTTCAATAGAAATATGGTAATGCGTTAAACAAATAAAACAATAATTGCTAAATCAAAATTATATGTTATTTCAAGGACCACGTGAACAAAAATTATTTTACATTGTTCCATTTTAATTGAAACGGAAATAGATTATGTATTTGGACAAATATTGGTTTGATACATAAATTCATACCGCCTTATTTTTAGGTTTTGTACAATTAATTAATGATTGTGCAAATGGATAGTAATATTTTGTAATATATCCTTTATACAGAGTGACTAGGAAATTCTGCTTATCTTTAAATAACTGGTGAGCACAACCAGTTACGACATTTGTCTAGATTTCAGAATTTATCGATCCTATCTAAAAAATTGTGAGATACAGAGAAAAAGTCAGTTGCAACGTTGTAGCACATTATTGATTTAATATGAAAAGACAACATTGTGCACATGGATACGGTCTGTACAGCCCTAAAAATGTCCGAAACAGATGCATAGTATTTCGCTGCAACATTTAAAGATTAAAGACGCAGCCACAGGTACAGAAGTATAATTTATTGGATAAGTAATGAGTATTATATAAATAAAGCTTGACGGCATGAACTAATAAAACAACTTATGCAACTGACTCACGTTGATTACAAGTCAATGTCGAGCGTGTTCGAAGATGTTACCTCTGGCTGCAATCACCTTTGTATTTGCAAAAGTATCCCAGCTTGCACATTGTATAACGAAAATCACACTGTTGTATGCATTAAGAGACGTAGGCTCAAGAAACTAGTAAATGATGTCATGTATAATTGACGTTTTATGTAGCAGTAGAAAGAGAAATCCATTAGAGTGAGGTCTGTTGATCTGGAAGATCATTTCATACGCAACACCAATCCTGTGATCTTTTCTCCAAATGTCAAGGTCGTTGCATTTGCATGCACTTAAAAAATAAAATATCCATTTCATTTTCTACGAAAATTCGCGTTTCAAAACACGCTTCTCTCCTTTAAACAAAACGTTTGACATTGGTTTCGAACATTTCAGGCTGTACATAAAATTATTTCTCGTATCCGCTTGCTCAGTATGTCTTTTCAAATTAAATTCATGATGCTGTACTAATAAGTTCTTAATTTCATTAGAAAGGGACGCTGCAACTGGTCTCATTTCATAAGAGTATAATGAGTCATTTCAATAAGGCATGGACCTTTTTATTATAGGTAGACATAGTTCATAGTGCTGCTGACTTTATTCACCAGTTATATAGAGACGAATGTTTACAAAATGTAGGTATCATTTTCTTTCAAGCACTTAGTGCCCGAGCAGCTTTTCTAGAATTCGAATCATTTTGAAACACCTAAATGGTAGACTATTTTTTTGTTTTGGTTCATAGAAGTAAATCTAGGTGACGTTTTCTGTTACAATGCCAAAGACAGCTTTTGAGCTATCAGATCTGAATATTTGTGATTTTCCCTTGCACCTTTTGGCTTGAACATGTTTCTGAGTTTGTGTTAAAGTGTGGAATCTTAACACTCGCATACACTTAAATGATAATGTAAAACTGAGAGCATTCGGGCCATTGAAATGTTCAAAGATGCCTCCATTTCATCAATGGTGATCTAAAGTGATCATGTGTTGCACAGCATCAATGTAATCTGGCATCACGGCAGTTCTTAACCAACTTTCCTAAAATTAACGCTGAAATCTTAGCGTTGTAGTTGTAATTCTTTCAAAACTAGTCATAAATTTTTTCTTTGTGTGTTTCCAAAAGTCAAATTCATTCGAACAACATACTGTTTTTATGTCAGAGCTTATTTTAAAGTTATCGAATGTTTTAGTCCCTGTTTTTTCAAACGTGATTAACTTCAGGTGGTTTTCTTAAAAATTTTTAGAGTATTTCACATTTTTAACAGCTTGTGTTCACAACAAAACAAAAAAAGAGTCATCTGCGCTAAAAATTGCCGTTTCTGGTATTGCCAGATTCTAACTTAAATACCGGACCCCATATGTTTGTTTTACATGAGCGGTAATGGGGTATTCTATAACTTAACTTCTGCTAATCCTCTCATAAACATTTTTATTATTCTTCCTATTATCAGAAATAAATTTTATAGTAAATATTCATTAGATTCGTGGAAAAAGTGAGAAATTCCTTCTGCTTCAAGAGATTACCCGAAATTCAAAATTGTTATCTCAAGTTTAATTCCTCCTGCTTAAGGGAATGATAGTTTGATGCAGCCATGATGAAATATGAGATGCAATAGAATTTTTTCCTTGACACTAAAAGTTTGCCTCCAGCTGGAAAGTCAGGAGAATATTCCTTCAATTGCAGGGGTCTCCTATAGTGCATTCTCCCAGGTTGCCATGGCTACCAAGAGGAATGAAGCGGAAGGAAGTTCTTTAGAATGCCTACAATGCGTTTCGCTTTGATAACTGAATCGCTTTAGCACTAATACCACAAACCATCTTATTCTTGTTCTTTTATATGATCTTTCACATTATTTTGATGGAAAATAAACATCGTTAAATCCCTTATGTTTAAAGTCGTCTTGCGCCATACTTAATACTGACTCCAGGAAATTTATTTTAAGTCTTATTTTGTATGATCTGGATTTTAGGATGAAATAACTAATTATGGTACGTTTCCCGAAGCTTAAGATCTCTTATGCATGCGTATCTGATATGAATATTTTACAGGGATTATTGCTCTGAATTATGCAGGAATTAATATTAAGAGGTATTAGGCTTAAATTTTATTCTGAAAACTATTCTGAATAAATACTTCTTTTTTATATAAAAAAAGAGAGGGTTTTTTTTAAAAAAGAATTGCTGCCTTTAATGATCTAATCATCTGTTTAATAAAGTAATTATTGATTTTTTACGTAAAGCTTTTTATGAGATGCAACAATTTTAATTCTTTTATCAGAGCCGCACAGAGGAGAAATAAAAATTTAGAGATAAAATGTAGACAATAAATTTCGTTAACTGGAGCTAAAATACCTCAGTTAACATACGTTTTAGAGCTGAATGCACATTTCAACCCATAATTCTCAAATTTCCTTAGTAAAAATGGAAGCAGAATGCATTTGAATACGAATTGTGTAGAAAATTTGTTTTACATTGCCTGTTATATGCGTTTTGTGAAAGAAGTAACACGTGTGAATTTTCTCTAATTTACTGATCTGAATCGTAAATGAATCTTTTGATTCCCACTTTTATGGTATTGCAACGTTTCGTGTGTTATTATTACTGTACAACGTTAAACTGGACATTTTTTCTGACTATAAAAGTTTAAGTTTCCATCACATGTACTAAACCATATAAGGAAATTTAAACTAAAAAAATATTTGATTTGTATGTGCTTCTTTTGTTTATCTGTTCTTTCAGTTTATTTTCGGGATATCTCAAGGCTTTGCATGGGATTCGAACTCGGGATTTTCTTCTCCACACCTAGCTGTGATACCAAAGTTGATAGCCATCTTCTGGTGTATTAAAAAAAAAATCTACTTTATGTGTTGATAAGAAGTCGTTACATATTCCAACATAATACGCGATTATGCTCTCAATTAGACCACACCTTTCTTAGATATAGTTAGAGTAACTTAATGAATCTGCACTTAAAGCTAACGAGTTTATTGGTGTTAGGAAAGGTTAAAGAAAATGCTTTGATTTTTCGTCGTATGCGGCATGTTCGGCTTCTTTCGTTAGCTGCTGCATTTAATTGCTTTCTCATTCTGATAGCCATGGCAGCAGTCAATCTGTGTTTATTTTGCCCAATTTCTTTTTCTAGTCTGTTAAATGTCACTTGATTTCCGCTATTTGTAAGTACATTAATAGCTGTTAAAATTATAACACCATGATAGAAGCAGCCGACCAACCGAAAATTTGCTTAATAGGTCTAGCGTAGGAAGTCATAAAGCCTCTACCGCTAGCTGGAATCTGCAAAAAAATAAGAAGAGAGAACCTTTTTTTTTTTCCTTATTCTGCCTTCAGCCTTCGTGGATGAAGGTCGCTCTTTCTTATGGCTTCGGCCCATGATCCTGCGCCTGCCGGCGCCGCCATCCCACCGGATAAGCATATCACCGACTGGAGCACACCTTGTGATGAAGATCAAGACACTATGGATACCTCGACCGCCTCGGAAACGGAACAATTGGATATTAAACCGGAACTAGTTGTTATGCAGCTTCGAAAACAAATCTACGGCTTAGAGCAGACCAAGATAATTAAGAAGCAAATGGATGCCACCAGAGCAGTTTCGGACCCACATCACTATACTCCACTCATGACTAAAGATATCCGACGGATGAAGTCTGAAAATGGAGCACCTCAAGGGTAAGTGCGATTATTTCATCTCCGTGTGTGCTAGGAACCCCTTAGAAACCCCTACAGCCAAATCTATGGAAAGTAAACTAGATAATTCGGTTATTAATGACAGTACTACTAACTCAAAAAAGGAAGCAACTTGACATCTCTGAAAACTCTGATGATTGTAGTGAGACCAACGACGGTTTCGTTAAGCCAAACCGATCCTCTAAGGAAATTAAAAAATCAGTTAACCTAAAGGACGCTTCTAACCACATCATCACTAAAAACAGATTTAGCCCACTGGATAATACAAATACTAGCATACTCTCTCAATCTGACATTACCCCCGCTACCCAAAATAATAACCCCCCCGAAAGCATCCACTCCCCCCAACCCAAGTCAGTACCCCCTGTTATGGTGAAACCACCAGAAAACATTAAATACAACACCTACATGAAACAACTCACAGAACAATCCCAATCTAAATTCTTTAGCCGAATTAACGGCGAATTCTTAAAGATTATGCCAAACAAACCAGATGATCATCCCACTTTGACACAATTTCTTAAAGAAAAAAATATTGAACATTCCCTTATAAATGCTAGGCACCTAAAACCAGTTAAAGTCGTAATCAGAGGTCTCCCCATAGACATGGATATAGATGAGATAAAGGAAATTCTTACTGAGCAAGGATTCAAAATTCACAAAATCACACAAATGAACTAGAAACTGAACTCGGCAGCCTATGCCCCTATTTCAAATCCAATTATTACCTGCCTCCAACATTGAAGAAATATACAATATCACTCACATATCACTTTTTATAGTGCAGATTGAAAAATATGTGAATAAGAACCTAATCCCACAATGTCATAACTGCCAGAAATGGCATCATTCATCTGACAATTGCTTCCTCACTCCCCGTTGTGTGAAATGCGCCGGGGATCACAAATCTATAGCATGCCCCAAAAAAGGTTTTATCGAAAATCCAGTTTGTGCCAACTGTCAGAATTCTCATCCTGCTTCTTATAGGGGGTGCGAAAAATTCCCCAAACCACGAAATATTACTACACAAGGCCCCAGGAAGTTATACTCTGAAATACTAAATCCTAAAACTCTTATTATTATTATACACCAGAGAACAGGGGCTCCGTT